ATGCTGGTAGGTGTTTTTCCCCCAATTAAATTGATAGTTCAAAAATGGCAGTGGGCATACGAGACCTTACCAACATCGTCTTACCCCAGGCTTTTGTAATACATTTTTTTAAATGTCAGACAGGCCAAGCATTCCTATGTAGAAACCAGAGAGGAAATGTTTTAGGAGCCAGGGGACTGCACTGGACTGGCCACACTGCGTTCACTCATCTGGCAAGGTGGGGAGAGAGTAAACTCTCTCACTGCTGATGGGGGCAGCTTTTCTTTTTAGTGAAACAACACAGCCTCACGGGTTCCCAAAATGTCAGATGAGGAACTGCCCTTTTCTCAACAGGCTCGAGCAGGGAGCTGCGTCAGCACATGCTGACTGTGCAGGAACAAGCAAAGGTTAATTCCATGCTGAAAAATACAAAAGCAAGATAAAAATTAAATCATTCTTCAAGAATGAAAGCCTGAAGCCATTTCCTGCCATTTTGATAAAATAAAGGTTTTCTGATCCAAATTTGACCAATACTTCAACTCACCTAATAATCACGAATTTCAAGCACATTGCCTAGTGATGATTTTCTAAGGAAATCTGCTGTCAGGTGCAGGACTTATAATTTGTGATTTCAGGGAAGGCTGAAGTTATAATTTGGTCTTCTGAATTGTGGACACACCAGACAGGAAACTCAGTTAATTAAATTTGGTTCACACTGCAGCATTTTTAAATGTGAACTATAATACATCGACTGCTTTATTTTGTATATCTGGGGATAACTAGAATATAAAAGAGATTAGAAATAAGAGGAAGTTATGAGATCCATCATGCTTTTTTAGAAGATTATGTGAACCTAAAATTTTATCCAAACAAATGTCATGTTTCAGTTTCAGCCTCAACCTCATGGCTGGAAAACATGTTTCGCCCTTCCACAACTCTGTGTACATAACGTTTTCTTTCCTCACGCTAAATGGATACCCCTTTTAAATTCCCATGTTATCTCACTACGAAGTCTAAAGTAGTCCCTTTTGATGTTGATCTAAATATTGGGCATGTCTGTACCCTTATTGTATAATAGAGAATTTTATACACGGATCACATCTCCTTTTATTACGTAGGAAATTTAGCTCCTTTTAACAATTCTTCTCTTCACTTCCTTTTCTTCTTTTTTAAGGCTGCATTATTCTTTTTGTGAGATAGTAACCAAATCTGCTTGAGCACAACAAATCCCTGACTTAAAAGCTACACTTTCATTGCATAGCGTATGTTCCTACTCCTGTGTGGATCACTTGGCACTTGTCATTGTTAAATTCCATTAGCTGAGTGTGTGCCCAGTTCACAGTTTTGTCCAATTATTTTGTAATTCCTACTGCAATGCCTACATCTACCCAGTGTGAGGTTACACCTCTTAAGATGATTTGAATTTGAAGACCTGCATTTGTGAAATTCTTCACAAACGTTTGAGTAATATTCTGTGTTATATGATCAGATTTGTTAACGGGGAAATAGTGAAGTAAATTTTACAACAGAACAGAGACAAGTCTTTTCCATTTAAAACTTTAGTTTATTTATAGCATCTTTCAAGTTCAAATTATTTCCGCTGGCATGCAAGAAAACGGTAAAATATTAAATGACATAAATGCAGAAAGAATGAGACCTTTCTCAGCCATGTCCCCCGTGACAGCGGGCTTGAGTGATGAACTTGATAGTTCAAATGGTCAGGAAATTCACACTGGAAGCAAAGCCCCTCTTGCAGCTAGGAAGACGAAAAGTGCTCTTTCTGTGTCTGGACTGACTTTGTCTTTTCGCTATGTGACGTTTCAGCTGTGTCTGCCCAGGGGGAATTTAAAGGAAACGTTAGCACCCACTCTGGGCCTCCTGTCCCACAAATCCCAGCTCAGGCAGAGATTCCTGCTGCTGGTCCAGTTGGGAGATGCATAGGTCAACTTCAGGACAGGGTGACAAGGGTTTTTGCTTTACTGCAGAACCAGCTTCCCCGTTGACATTGTTGGCATTCAAAACCAAAATTGAATACATCCTCTGTTTTCCCCGAAGGGCTGTCTTTGGCGCAAGTTTGTCTGAATCTCGCAAAACGTGGATCCAGGCTTTGAAAGTGAGGCCAAGCGTGTTTACAGCTGGCCACAGAATGTCATAACCACAGAAAAGTGATGACCATGGAGTCCACACAGAGATTTCAAGGCCATATGATTCTTTAGTGTGGACATTAATTTAAAAAGGAGAACCCTTTGAGAACCACAGAAGGTCCCAGGATTACCCACTCCCTCCGAAATCACTGCTCAGTCTCTGGGCACTTCAGTCTAACTGGGGTTCTGTTTGCTGTAGTGGAAAAGCAGACTAACCAAGAGGCACTGGAGTAGTTAGATATGATTTTTGTTGATAAAAAGCATATGAATGTACAGTAAAACACAATTTGCTAATGAAACAAAACAGCCACTTGTGTTTGGTTACTAGTAGGTGACTGGTATGTGAGTCTCAAACAGCCATTTCTTCATGTAAACCAGGACATCGGCTTTAACTTTTTAAGGTAACATATTTCTGGCCCCCACTGTCCTCAATAATCCTGTTCTCAGTCTTGTTTGCACTTCTCCTAGTTTCTTCTTGGGCCCCTGGTTCTTGTTTTCACACAAGTCCAGGGCTGTATGTTAGGATTATCCAGGCTTCCTATAGGATGTGAGCTCTGCTGGACTGAAGGGATAGCTTTGTTCTCAAGAATGCTCCTGTATTCCAATGCTGTGTGATACACTCTGCTCTTAGTGGAATGTTTCAGCAAGGAATTGTGAGACACTACTGCCTTCTAGTGACAAACACTGCACTTGCAGCTTTTTCCACTTCTTCATTTCCAGTGTGAAATCAGGCAGCATCGGAGAAGGCATTCCCCTTAAGACAGCTGGAAATGAAAACAGCAAGTAGCCAACATAGCGTTTCCAGACAGAAGACATTTTAAAACATTCCTGTACTATGATCTGTTGCTACTTTGACAAAAGATAGCATGTAAGAGAGACTGCATTTGTTCATTATATGTTGTTTATCTGTTGTCCTTGTTCTGGAAGAAGGATTCAGTGGAGTAGCTGGACTTTGTCCTTGCTGTGTCCTAAAGCATTCACACTCTCACAAGGTCAGCTTTCGATAACGAAGTGAGTGACTGCAAAGTATGTCTGGCACAGTCAATAATTTATGTGAAATTTTGAGAAAACAGAGCATGACCTCAGAGAGCTATAGATTGTGCGCCATTTCCATGTCAGGTTATCATATGCTCATCTGTATTTGTGATTCACTTTCACAGAGACTCACAGGACAGAATGGAAGTTCTCTGACATCAGGGCATTACCTCACAGTCTGGCAGGTCCTGTGTTTTGAATTCCTGCAGTAGGAGGAGGTGACACTGCTGTTTTATAGGGATGAATTCATGGAAATTCAGCAACGGTTGTACAGTATCTATTTTATTTGAAGATGGGAAATGCAATTTCAAAACAAGTTAATGCATAAGGGCTTTAGCCTTTTAATTGAATTTTGTTGACCTCTTGAACATGTGGGTACTTTTGATCTTCCTCCAGCTGGAAGCTGTAGATGTTGATGCCCACAGTGCGTCAGTGTCTGTCAGCGCACTGTATGGAGAGAGGTCACATCCAAAGTAACAAGGTCCAGTGGAATATTCCTGTTGAGTTTTTCCAGTAATGAACTGTAACCTGAATACTGTAATGATATAAGTCTGGTTTACTGTTGAATTACAGTCACGCAAAGCAGACAGGTGTTCATTCATTCCCGTATTCATTGGCAGGAAGTTAGGCTAGTTGCATGAGAGATTTTCCATTTTTGCAGTGCTTTCCTAAACTGCACTAATTGTGTTGAGCAGGATATTTAAACAGAAAGCCATGAACCAGGTACTTAAGGACTACATAAAAGCTTATTTATCAGTTTAGAACCTGTCTTTTATAATTCAGTATAACTGTAAAATAGATTGTGGAAACAAATCATTAACACACTCAAATGAAACCCACAACAAGGGGTTTCTGTATTAGTTTGCTTTTATTATAATAAACCTAGGTGAGCACATCTGTACACTTGTCTAATAGTAAATTGCTTCATTTTGTACAGTTTAGCTCAGGCTTGAAGACATACCGTTCTCATTACCAGTCACACAGACGGACTTTGTTCACAGGTACAGCACCTCAGACACAGGACCAGTGTTTGTGCTTGTGTGTGAGTGAATCCTTCTGATATCTCCTGATCTTGACATCTGTACTTGAGAATATGATATGAGTGTCGGGGCTCCTTTTTCCAGGTAGGAAATGTTCTCTATTAAGGCATCGTTTTATGGGAATGTTGAGCTGAGCCAACATCTGCAGGGAGATAGGATAGTTTCAAACCAGAGAACCAGGGATAGTTGCACAGGGCTCTGACTACAGACATCTCCTAGGTGACCTCCTAGGTGACTAAAGTGAGAATCACTGGAACATATTTAGACCAGAAGACTAATATGATCTATCGTTAATAACAGATACATCAGATACATAGAGAAACAGATAGCGTGTAAATGCATAATGTTATTTTAAGCGCATTGATCTTCCAGCAATGAATAGAAGGTTGTAAGGTGAAATGTGAGGTTCTGAAATCCACTTGACTATATCTGTTTAGACACTGTGTGTGTATATAAACAGTTTAAATATAAGAGTGAGACTGCAAGCCTGTCTTGCTCTCTGACTGGTCATTATCTCTCTTGTTCCCTAGAATCAAACCCTAAAAGATCCCGCGAATATCAAAGCTGTAGATATTTGTCGTTGATTTACTGTACATCTATCGAGGCTGGCTATCTGGCCAGCGAAGACGGCTGTCAAGACGTGTGCAAACATAATAAGTTATTCTGATTACGTGGATGATCGAGTTTATCTTGTTCTGGGCTGTTTTCGGTCCCTTCGGTTCCGCGTGTTGTCCGCCCATCCCCCGCGCACCGGCGCACGCGTGTCCCTGCTAGGCGAAGACGGCGGAGTTTTTCCAGTCCGAATAGACGAGGAAGCCGCTGAAGGTGCTGTCCGTCTTCTGGCTGGAGTAGAAGCCGCTGTATTCGCTCAGGCCCATCTGCACCCACACCTGGTCTCCGGGCACCAGGTGCAGCAGCGAGCCGCCGGACAGAGAGGCCGGCTTGGGCCAGTTGCCGTAGTACTGGAAGTACGAGGCCACGACGTGGCCGTTCTTCATCAGGTCGAACTGCAGGCTGGCGCGGTAGACGGTGGCGTGGACGGCGAAGTAGTAGACTCCGGGCACCCTGCAGGTGAAGCGGCCCGTCTCCGCGTCGTAGTGCCCCTGCTCGTTCAGGAGCGCCACGTCGAACCGCACCGCCTCCCCCACGGGCGTGGGCGCGCCCCGGCTCTCCGACAGCTTGGCGCTGAAGGCGGACTTGGGCGCCACGGCGCACTCTCCCGGCTGCCCCCTGTCGCCCTTCTCTCCTGGCTCCCCCCGGTCGCCGCGGTCGCCCCTGGCGCCAGACATCCCTGACAACAAGGAGATGCGATTGTAACGTCTTATAGACAACAGCTGTATCACCTTGCAGCTCACCACTGACCCACATGAGAAAACTAAGGTTGCTGTTGAAGAGGTGTTAGTGGGACCAGAAGGGGGAGCTCACCCTACTGTCTGTATCAGTCCTAATGCCCCAGTATAGTGACGGGGACACAGAAAAATGCCGTCCTTTGGATGAGACATAAAACCGAGGTCCTGACTCTCTGTGGTCATTAAAAATCCCAGGGTGTTTCTCAAGAAAGAGTAGGGTTTTGCTGGCCAAATTTCCTTTACCAATCATGGCCTCCTAATAATCCCCATCTCTGAACTGGCTTCATCACTCTGCTGTCCTCCCCACTGAGAGCTGGTGTGTGGTGAGTGTACTGGCGCCCTGTGGCTGCTGTCGCATCATCCAGGTGGGGGATAAGAAGAAAAGCGCTATATAAGTGTAAGAAATGATTATTCTCATCATCTCGGTCATAAAGGGGGCGGGGGTTCTGCCTCTCACTGGAAGAGACATGTGCGAGAGCAGCAGGAGTTGGCGGCTGCAGGACTGAAAGGGCCCAGCGTTAGAAGCACATATTTGAAATGGACACCTGGGAAAGGGGAACTTGAGCTAAACAAGCAAGGAACTGGTCCAGTGAAATCAGTTAGCACTAACTGTGGAACGAAAACAGAACATCACACTTCTTTACAAAGCAGTGAAACGTTTTCAACTTTTACTCACTTCCCGCAAAGCCTGTTGTGCTCTCAGGTCCTTATTTCTACCCACGTTCCTGGTGAGTCTTTCGTGATTAAGAGAAATTGTTCTGGAAAATGCTCAGTGGAGAGTCATTAGATGATTGTTTTGTGTGGGGCTACAGCCGAGTTTACTATTTGAAGTCGTGTATGAAAGCTCATTTGGCTGTCACAGTCCGGATCATGTGTCGTTCGCAGGCTCTGTGCTGCTGTCATATTGAGAGGTGCCCCGGTAAAAATACTAAATAGAAAGAAATCGTGTTGCAATGCTTGCTTCATGTTATCTCACCTGGCTCGCCCAAATCTCCTTTGACCCCCTTTTCCCCCGGGGCGGCATCACGCCCATCTCTGCCGTCCCTCCCTGGCAGGCCTGGGCTGCCGTGTGCCCCAGGGGATCCTGGGATACCAGGCTGTCCTGAGCAGAGGCTGGGGATCTGGTTATCTTCGATCTGATTGGACGAGCTGACCAACAGGAAGATAAAGAGGGAGAGAGGCCAGAGCTGGTGTGGATTCATCCTAAGGTGCCTGTGAAAATGGAGGTTACAGTTATTTACAAGATATCTGCAAGGCTATATGATCTTTTAAAAAAATCAAACAAGTAAACTACCTCCATGTTCCTTGTGGGTTTAGTTTTTTCGTGAGTTAAACAACCTTACTGATTGGTTTAAATAAAATAATTTGTGAGTAGACAGTCTAGTCTAAACATGTTTGGTTTCTATTTTATAATGGAAGTGAAATGTCTTCAACAGATGTTATTTTTAAAGAAATATTTTTCTTCTCTTCGCACCAAATACTTGATCAAGGATCAGGATTTTCTTTCTTGCTGCCCTCTCCAAGGAAAGCTGCAAGTGTTGTGACTCATCTAAATGTCATCGTGCTCACAGCTGACAGCCAGGAGACCGAAACAAGTGTTCAGCATCTGTCTGGAGAGGGGTCAAGCCCAGCTTATGGGAGTCTGAGAACTGCAGTAAGGAAAGCTGACTGTCACAGGCATTCTTATTACTGCGGCGGTACTGAACTAGGGGGACAGAGAACGAATTCTCTGGAAGCTCAATGTTTTATTTATGCTGCCTAACTCTTTGATTTTCAAAAGTGAAACTGCCGGTCTGCATGCTTTCAAAGCTGCCTTTTGATGTAAATTGTGCATTCTTACCTCCCAAATTACTTTCAGATTCCACAATAAAAGCAATAACTGAACCACAGTCTTTAACCACAGAAACACAAGGACCATAGTGATTCTCTCTCCGCTTCTCTATTATTTCCTCTTCAGAGAAGTCTCCTCGGCATACCAGAGCATAGATCTGCGGTTTGGGCCTGGATGTGTGCGTGTCCTGTACTGTAAGAGCTAAAGAATGAGGGTCACTGCTCCCAAAGCCAGCGTGAGGGAGAGCAGCACTCAGCACTGACTCAGGGGAAGAACGTCTGCTGGCACGACTGCCCGGAGTCTCCTCTGCCCAACACAGCAGCTGCAGTACTGGGAAACTAGGGTGAGCCTTATTCCACCGTTTCCTCGTGCGAGATTCGCACACCCGCAGGTAGTGTGCAGAGAGTTTCTCACTTCTCGCTCCCAAACCCGGTGTGACGAAAAGCCCTGTTAAGTCGTCATGCCTGAAACCTCTCTCCGTGGCTCTTGCTGAAACACATTCGTCACAGCTACATTCCCCTCTGTAAGACTCCGACGACCGCCCTCCGCCTCACCCCCCCCTTGCTGTGTCAGCGGTATTTGAAACAAATAACAGCTCCCACAGCTCAGGCTGAGACACCCAGAGAGAGCCAGGGAAGCTTCTGAAGTCTCTGCAGTTCACTTTCCCACAAAGGTCCTGTCGGGAAACAACTGTGTGTTGTCAGAAACACACAAGCTTTTCTCATTTCTTTGCAGATTTCCACTAAAGCCGAGACATTGGATCATGTAAAATGAATTTCAACTGTACCATAGGCCTCCTCCATGGGTGCCAAATCTGTGGTCAAAATCAGTGGTATTTAGTAAGTCTGAGTCATGGACATCCTGGGGTTGAGGGCTGGTGGAAGGGAGGGAGGGCACGAGGGGCCCTTTTAACTCTTTCACCCAGCAGAATCTATTACCGCGGCTGAATGGTTGCCCCCCTCCTCCCCCACACACACACACACCTCCATGAGACACACGACAGAAACAGCCCAACTCCTGCTAACAAAACATTCAGCCACTACTCTCATGTTGCTCGCTTATTCTTAGGGTGACTTCAGAACCTGGAAGTACCAGAGTCAAAATCACAGCATTTAATGCTGAAATGTGCTTTATGAGCATTCATCTTAGGGCTGCGAATTGGAGCAGTATGAAAGTGCTTTAAAGTAAATTCATACTTTAAGATGAGTACTGCATAATTGTCATTAAAGCAACCCAAATAATGATTTGTTTCAATGCATTATCCAAAGAAAACAATGCACCATTTTCTATGTCAATGTATTGAATTGTATAGTGTGTAGTTCTTATTAAAATTATTGATTGCAAAATTAATGGCATAGGTTAGCCCTGCTTTTATTTCTGCCTGCTCTGCAGTGTGCACTTTTATATCTTTGGAAATGCAATGCCGGTGTACTTACTGTGCTATGAAGCCTTCAGTCAGCCAGAGTTTTCAGAACGTTCAGCAGAGAGCTCTGCACACTGCCAGTGTCCTCAGATGCTTTCCCCTTGAGCGAAACAAGCTGGATAAATAAACAACAAAAATTTCAATTTGGTGAACGAGAATAGTTTTTCACTTGGGAACAGGCCTCCTCAGTCAGAATGGCCTGATGTTTCGGCTCACATAGCAAACATTAGTAGCAAAACACTTGCATTCTATAGTGCACAAATAGCTCCTAACCTCTGGGCATGGGAAAATGCATGTCTAATAGAAATGAGCAAAAACCTTACCAATCCAGTCTCTTTCAGCCAGCTCCCTGGTTTATGAAAGAAGAAAAAGCAGCAGGTCTTTGAGTTGGTTTCAGTAATAATAACAATAAAAGCTGAAGGTTTTTTTCCTCCCTCCTTGGACAAGCAAGAAAGAAACCTCCCTGTCTACAGAGAGAGGACTTCGCTGAGGGCCAATTAGAAAGAGGGAGGGCAAGAGAGGAAGGATAGGGGGGAGGGAGGGGAGCAAAGGATTCCTTTAGTGCCGAAAACTGAACACAGAAAAAGTCCAGGGAAAAAAACTGAAGTGGAACTTCTGCCGTGAAATGCAGGAGATATATAAATATAAAATAGAGTCCGATAGAAAGAGAGGTGCCAAAAAGCCTGGAAAGATTAAGAAAAGATGACTGGGGAGATGCCAGAGAAGACAGGTTCGTTTATATCCCTCCAAGAACAAACACCTCTGGCTTCAGAACTGGAAGAATTCTAGGTGCGGAGTGCTGTTCTCCTGGCTAACCTCACGCATTCACCTTCAAATATTTTCTAGAGCTCAAAACACAGAGATTAAGCTCTATAAACAAACGTGGTCTGGGTGAAGAGTAGCACAGTGGTGCAGTGCATAGCATTGCTGCCTCACAGCTCTGGGGCCCTGGGTGCAGTTCCAGACCCTGGGGTGCTGTCTGTGCGGAGTTTGTGTGTTCTCCCCATGCTCGCTTGGGTCTCCGTTTAGGTGGACCAGTTTCCTCACCAAAAACACATAGCACCTTTAGGTGAATTGGCTTCTGGGTACAAACTTGGCCCTGGTGTGAGTGTCTATGCCTGTGTGTTCCCTGTGATGGACTGGTGTCCCCTCCAGGGTGTGTATTGCCTTGTGTGCCTGTTTCTTGTAAGGATAGGCTCTGGCTCCCCCTCAACCCTGTACGGAATAAATCAGTTACAAAATGGATGGATTTGGATGAGCCTTCTTAATGCCAGTTGGCATTTCTTAATGTTCCTTTTTTGTTATCCTTTAACTTTCCCAACTTTCCCAGAAGGAAGTAATCCCCGTGGCAGTGTGAATTTCTATTCCCGGTAGAGGGCTTGCCAGCTTGCCACACTAGGAATCTGGATAGTGTCCCTATTTCCATTTGTTCTTCTTCACAAAAGAAACATTTTAATCCACGCTCACCCTTGTGTCTGTTTATGTCAGTATTTTTACACTGCTCTTGCCTTTAACATGCATGAACTCTGCTACAGCTTTTATTTTTCATAGAAAGCCATGATCCTTTGCTCTCCCCTTTTTTCAATGTGTTTAAGGATCACCCTGCTTTTATCTTGGTGTAAACATGCTAAACTGTTATTTAGATAATTATTGAGATAGCACATGTGAACATTTTGCTCTAATTCCTGGTCCTCTGACCTGAAGTCACAAGAGAAAGGAAAGTATCAAAATAAAAACAGAAACTTGAGAAGGAGACAGTGGGAAGCACAAGAAATTTGACAGGCCTCGTCTCAGGCCTCTGTGGTCTGAAGAAAAGAGAAGCTCGCTTAAGAGACGGAGAATGAAAGCAGTCAGTGGTGTTTCCAGAGAGGCAGGCGTCATGTGGCATCGGCTGTTTCATTACAGGAAAGGAGAGGGGGCAAAGGTGAAGGCTGTTTATGACTGTGGGATGTACAGCTCAGTGAAAGGACCCTGAGGACTGAGGGATGAGAGGTGGACAGGCTGCCCTTCCAGACCGCATGTGGGATAAGTTAGGCATCGCCCTGCGTCCTCTGCCCACCCCTCATAACTATTTTATAGGGGAAATCTAACCAGCAGGGGTGCTCCCCTGCTCCTTTGAAAAATTCACTTTCAAACGTTTCATTTTCATTACAGCGCATTTTCTCAGCCAGTTACTCGAGTCTGAGAAAAAGTGCTGAGGGCTTGTTTTCTGTTTCTGGTTGTAATGGGTCATGCTGATGGGAAATGGGCCTGCTTTGAAAATGAAGGCTCTGTTCAGTGGGTGTATTGTGTAATGAGCACAGATCATTATAGGCTAAGCTCCCGTGTTGTTACAGAAACAATATAAGAAGTGTTCCTACTTGGCCCTAAGCTACATACAAAATCTAGAGTATAGTATTTAACTGTGATTTTGTAAGAACCACATACTTTGCTGGCTGGATAAATACCCCAAATTAGAGTGACAACCAAAGCCCTCTATCTGTGTCTACAGACTGATTTTGACCACTACCACACTAACAGCAGTGTCAGAGTTGCTAATGAAGTTTTAATGAATACACTATGAAATAGGCCCCAGAGCCATTGACTGCCACTCCTTTCAGTTCAGCTCTGTGCTGTCAAACACATTGTGTGATGATGTAGAAGGATTGTCTGCTACCTCTTGGTTGACAGTTTCTCCCTCTAATAAAACTAATATGAAAATGCTTAAGTATAAAACAAGCTCTCCTCACTTGAGCCATTGTGGGTGAGGGTGGTGTGGCACTTTACATCCACTGAACCTAGTCTTGCAGGAGCAAAAGATTGGCTTTCTCTCTAGTCTAGCATTTCAGCAAGTGAATCAAGCTCCTGAAAGTGTCCTTTACTCTAAGATGGTGATCACGATAATACTGATTGGGACACACTGATTGGGACACTTGCCAGTCCTGTCTCAGTGTGTCCTGGGACTGTGGTGTCCAGGAGGTGCCCCCTAGTTCAGCACACATTCCAATTCAATGCAGTTTGCTGCTTTGTGCTCCTGCTCCTTCTCTTGTGTCCTTGTGCAGGGAAGGGGGGTAGATTCTTCCTCCAGCAGAGGACTCCTCCTGAGGAGAACATTTTGGATCTGTGTCTGCCCTTTATTCTGTGGGCAAGGAGTGACAAGTAGGGTTGTGCCCGAAGGTTAGTGATTCTCTTTGGCAGGGCTTCTGATCAAAATCCTGAACTCCCATCCTGGCACTTTAAAGCCCTCATTCAAACAGTAGGAGAGCGTCCTCTTCCAATAAAAACCAGTGAGAACCCACTTCAAGGGTATCCAGTTCCTCATAATTCATGACAGCCCGGAGCAAACTGACACAATGAATGCATTTTTAGCTTTTAACCCACAGATCAAATCCTGTCTAAAACTACAAAAGTATGTTTCTGTGATTTACATTCTACTGATTGAAAATCACCTTTAGAAATATTACTTGGAATTGGTGGGATCTGAGGCCATTTCTGTACAGGGATGTTATCTAAGGATGCTTGTATGAAGGCGTGGCAGATGGACTAATGCAGAAGGGGAAAAAAAGTGCCCGATCTGCTGCAGAAGGACATGTCAGAGGTGCTTGCAGCTGCTGCTGTCTGCCCTCTGCCTTGATGTACCATTATGTTCATGTGAAGTCTGTGTTAATCTGGGTGAAAGACCAGCTGTGTTCTTCTCGACCCGAAACTCTCCATTTTGTTTTTGTCTGCGTAATTTACTTGTAGCCTCTTATCCTTTTCAAGCCATCAGGTAGCACCAGAAAGAAACCTGGAAAACAGGGCAACCTACTCAGCTGTGAGCCAGGTGCTGTAGGTGAGAATGAAGAGCTCATCTCATCGCTGGTAAAGAAATGTTTTCAGTCATCTTTTCATTCACATTTACTCAAAATTCAATGAAAGAGGCCAGATTTAGCACAGGAAGCAATCATACTTAAGAATCTTTCTGGTTAACTAACAATTCAAGACTGTTGCTCATTTAATGTGCAGTTTTGTACCCTTTCTAGTCCAAGACAGTTTAGCATTTAAATGCTAAACCTCTTTTTCCCCACAACATAAAAATAACACATATCTACACAAAACTAAAAAACACAAAAAAATACACAGGCAAAATATCACAAGACACACTCCAAAACACGCAAAACACATGAAAAAGAAGACACACCGCCACAGATTAGAGAGAGACTTGTTTGATGACAAGGCAACAGCTGAAGCCATTTTGTATTAAAGAAAAGCAGATTGAAACTTTAACATTTAGTATTTATTAAAGCAATATAAACCACAGTATTTGTCACACTTCCATGACAGACTGTTGTGCCATGAGGCAGCCATATCAAAAAAAAAAAAAAAAAACACTATTCCTGCAGAGGTAGGGAAGTAACAATCCTGTTGAAAGTGATCATATAAAAGGACAATTAAACATTTAAAAGTGCTATTCTGGGGAAAAGACTTCATTTAGTTACAGACTGGCATCATAAGTGTTGGTCATCAATTGACTTTCGAGTCCAGACAGACCAGGCTCCTGATATTTGTAGAAACACCATGAAGGTGGGTGTGATCTCTTCCCTGGGCAATCTGGGCCCTCCCTTTCCTTGGCCAGAAAAAGGTAATGACTGCCAGCCCAGCAGAGGGCATCCTTCTCCAGAGGTGCTAGAGCAGGATCCACAGACTCTGTGGTTTAGGCACCCCAGTTCACATGGGGCACCCAGCTCACAGCAGACTCCTTCCTCAGAAAGCTCTTCCTCCTTTCCCAGGGCTGAAGACCCCAGGCCTTGCTGATCCTGACCCTCCTACTCTGGGCAGCACCTGAGGTCAGGGTCCTGCAGGCTAGACCCACTCTGGTCTAAAGTGCCAGTAACTTCACTCCAGGTTGTAGAACAATCCCCACCAGCACCAGAGTGGGTCACAGCCATGCACTCACCTGCAGGGCTCCCCATCTTTACCTCTCAGCAAGTTCAGTGCCTGCCAACACATGTTGAGTTCCATCACACTGGTGGGTCTCTGCTTCAGGGCTGACGTCCTCTCCTGAGCCTCCATTACTTAGCTGTCCAGTCAGAGGGATCCAGGCTCAGACTGTCCAGAGTAGTACCTCCCATTACCACTAGAGGCACTATCCATCATATGCAGAGAGAGAGGATCCTAGTGCTGGTCATGCAGATTCCTGTGGAACACCACCACTCTACAAATAAAATTCACAATCAGAAATCAGAAACTAAAAAAAAAAGCCACAAGCTTACCCACAAAGAAAGCTAGTTAAACAGCTACTAACCCCACCAGCCCAGCACCAGTTCATCCAGAGCCATCCTCCTTCTACTGCTCCCTGAGGCGCTGACACACCCTTTTATACAACTAAATCCAACATGAGAATCCTCCCATTCCAATCAGTTAATCAAACAATTAGTGTCTGCAGGTGCAGCTGTTTACAATCAAGAGTCTGGGTCCTGTTTTGGAAGCCTGTAGTGACAGACACATTGTCATGAGTCATGAATCAGGGCAGCCTGCTACAGAGGGGGTGATGGAGGCAGGTCACAGGAGGGCAAGTGGACGCAGGATGTTTTCTAGATACACTAATAGACCAAAGTGGTCAGTGCACTGCTGGAGGGTAATGCACACAGAGAGAAGTGGGGACGGGCAGGCTGTCAGAGACTGAGCACCACTGGAGCAGAGAGGACCTTCAGCAGACAGAGGAGAGACATTCCTATTGCCACAGCAGAGATGTTAACGGTTTCTGCCGCTCGCCTGCTGACAGCACCCAGCACCCAGCACCCAGCCACACTCCTGCGCAGGTGTTGAGGTGACTGTTGCAGAGGAAGCAGGTTTTTTCAGATGATTTGGGGGTGAATATGAATTCTGCAGCTGGTAGAATGTATCCAAAGTATTCATATTGTGAGATACAGTTTAATTCCATAGGCATTTGCTAGATCTAACCACCGGACTGCTTTGCATTTCCTGCAATCTTAGAAATAATTCTAGCATGTTCCAGAGAGCCGGACACTACTGAAATGCCATCCCTTTGCACGGATGTATCAATAGAATTGTTGTTCAACATGAACCTGTTCAACCTGCTTACTGTGATTCTGAAACAAATTTTATCTTCCGCATTAAGAAGTGAAAAGTTATTGAATTGCTTGAGATTCATTGAGTCCTCTTTCAGCCCTGAAGCAACTCTCGGCAAACAGTCGGCTTTTTTTGAGGTAGTTCTTCCTCTCTGCCTCTTTCAACAGCTTCCGGAGTCTCCAACTGATTCTCTAGCAGTGTCTGTGATCCTCTGGCTCTGACACTGATCCTGCTCTGGGCCTTTTCAGGAAATTGTTCATCTCCCACCAGGTAGGTTCCCACTCTTCAGAAGGAATGGTGAGTTAATTTGCATTATCGAGTGTAGCCATGTAGTCTGGGGTCACTGTATGTTCTTACAAATGTTCCACCACCTCCTCCTTTGTAAACTCAAGCTTTCCTGATCTTTTATCCACATATAATGCTTAGGGTAAGGATTAAAGTTTAGAATTTGTTCAGGATTAAAGGTCGCACTGTGGTTGAGAAATTCGAATTGATTTGAATGTAATATGTTCTTCAGTACATTACACAAGTGTTGAAAGTGATGCAAATAAGTTCAGAACGTCCTGTTAATTCAGTTAATCAGTTACAACTGATACAATGTGAACTACTTTGACATGGACCAAGGGAAATGTGAAAGAATGTCGTGGGGCACTGCTTTTAAACGTTGTGGGAGAACGGCACTGCGACACAGCCGTTTTGTTGAAACCAACAATCAGTGGCTGCGCAAGATTATCGAATCAAACCGATACCAGTAACCAAAGGGGCCATATCAAAAACTGTCCTCACCTTTGAACTTTCTCACGTATTGTAACTTCTTAAATGAACACATCGGTGGCATGTCTAATCAGTGCAAAGGTAGTAAACTACACAGTAAACTGAGTGCATGATGACGTTCACAGATGAAAAATCTGACGTTTTCGTGCAGCATTAAGAAAAATCAGGTTATAGAACAATAACTGTCCTAGTCTAAGGTCTAAGACCTTTAGACCCCACAGCTCACCTACATATTTCTTCATCCTTTTCATTTACATTTCTGTGACTTTTACATACTAACTGTGATTACCCTGATAGCCTTTGAGGGGGGGGGTGGAAGGATTTTGAAACTTTGTAACTCAGAGGGGGCTTCTGAAAACACGCTCGATTTCTTCCGCGAGTTTTCAGGCGGAGGAAAAAAGCGACCGGCGCCGTCGCCTGTAGCCACGCCCACTCGCATGACATCCCCCGCAGGCCACGCCCCGCGCACCTGTCCGCCAGGTTCTGCGGGAGAGAGGGGAGCTGGGTGAGTTTGTTCCGCGGCCTTTTGCGATTATTATTTTATTTTTCCTTTATTTTAATGTAGATAAAACTGAACTCAATAAATTACGTAGTCTAAACCGCGTTTTTTTAACGTATGGCTTTTCTTATTTTAACAAACCAACTGTGTTGCACAGATAACGTGTATTACTTTTACATCGAAGAAAAGCTCTATTGTAGCAGTAAAAACTGCGCTGTATTGAGAGTAATGCCCTTTTTCCGTACGTTTATTTATCTTTCTTTATCAAACAATCCGTGAACTTTGCTCACTAAATCAAGCGTTGATTTCTCCAAAAAGAAAGTAGGCTACCTATATTGTAAAGATTGTTTTCATTATTTTCCAGAGCAAGATGTGATAAAGTTCTTATATTCATGGTAACATTTCGCTTGCAACGAATACTTATTAGTTTAAATGGTCTTTAAATTCTCAATTACGCTGTTTTTGTATTTTCAGGTTTAGTGTCTTCGAGCAGGACTCGATTCGCACTTAATAATGGGAGTATAAACGTAAGTATAAACATTGTATTCACTTTTTCCCCGTATCTCATTGAAATATACTCTGCACTATCTGCCCTGGTGAAACCTTTGTTGAAATCATCTCTAAATTATCTTCTAAATATATATTTCTGTGTTTCCAGTTTGGTGTGTTCGGGCAGGACAAGCTTGGCTCAGCTGCTGGAATCATCAATGTAAGTATAAACATTTTTAAACGTTTACACGTATCATATTAAAATATAGTATATACTATAATTACCAAAAAGTGTTGTTGAAAAACTTGGTGCACCTTGTTTAAAAAAAATATTTGTCCACGGAAGAAATGGTTTTGACCCGATAGCACTGTAGGTCTGCTGTTTATATAAATCTTTTTTTTTTTCAAAACTGCGATCATTTTAGCTTTTTCGATGCGCATAATACAGATTCGTAAAAAAACGTTTTGGCTTCCAAATTGCATCGCAACGGGGCCTATAAAGATTTGAATTACTTGTTATAGTGTTAACTAAGCTGCTTCAGAAAAAAATAATACGGTAATCAAAATAGAAATCGTAAAAAAACTCATTAGAATGTGATAGTTTCTATCTAATCGATAAATCTAAGCTTTAGTGGTTGTGTTAGAATACCGCAGACACAGCACTTTAAATGCAAACCCGAGTGCTTCAATACCGGTTAATGTTCTTTACCAGGCTAAGCGCTATATTCCAACTGTAAATCAACGCTTTCACCTTCTGGTCATTTCAGTTAACTCAATCTTACTAGCTGAGATAATTTCGAGAAAGCACCGCTAATACTGATTTCTGTTGTTTTGCAGGAAACGAAGTTCCAGTCTTCATTCTGGTCGCTGCCCCGACAGATCCATTGGAGAAACAGTAACGTGTCGTATGTTTCTGTGCTTTTCCGTGTACTGTAGTTGCGTGCAATTATTTTTGTACACTGTTTATTTGTAAAAGCTTTTAGCGTGAATGTATCCGTGCTTTGACACTTTGTAATTTAAATCCATGTTACTTTTCACTTCAGATCCTGTGCATCTATCGTATGTAATGGAATGCGTTGTTTAATGTTGCATGCTAATGTTTTTGTACTCTGCTTACTTGTAAAAAGTCTTTAGTGTTAATGTAGCCTTGCTTTGACGCATTGTAATCTAAAAGGTGTTAATTTTCATTTCGAATCTGTGCATCGCTCGTACTGGAATGCTTTGTTTTGTATGCAACTTTCGCTCAATAAATTGTTGATTGGATTTTGATGTGTTTTGTTGTTTCTGTTCTCATGCAGAGTTCCGTACACCCTTGGTCCTGAAAAA